GATAGTAGAGAGATACGTATTTGTCGCAATTGAGTTGTCATATACAAGAGGAGTTTGGCTCCTTTCATGAGAGTACGACCTTGGTGTAATTTTTACCTTAGTCCTTGAATCCATATTTAGCTTTTGGCACCAAACTTTGATACCAGTTGTCACAATGAATCATACACGATGTAGACCTATTGGATTGGTGTTAAGGTGAACAGCTGACTGAAGTTCGAAGGCTCTGCTCTTATTTCGAGAAAAGCAAACTGATACAACAGATATCTATTAACCACCTGTCTTATTTGAAGCAAACATGGCGGAGGAATGAAACTCTTCGTTCAATTTGAACAGTCACGATGAGGAAAAATCATTTTCACCAATTTTCTTTCAGAAGACTCCGCTCACTGACGTGTGCGTTGACAAAATCAAATGGATTATTTTGAAGTACATTAATGAAAAAAATTTTGACTCTTATTTACAAATTATTACTGAAGAACAGGTATTCATTTATTTTTCTGTTCCAAACTTTAAGTCTTAAATTTAAGGAATATAAGGAAATTCATTTGAATCAGCTCTCGCTTATTTCAATTAAACTTGTATTTGCATTTGCAAAGGTTTTTCACAACATAGACTGCAGATGGCAAATTTTGAAAATACAAAAACGAATAATTCATGAATAACAACAACAGTTTTCAAAATGTGCAAACCATAAGTCTCTTAGCTGTAAGTCTAGCTGTTGTCATTTATTGGTCTCATTGAGTGGAATACAAATCGCGTGTATTTTCCCGTTAGCAGGAGCTTTTGGGAAGAGAATTGGCAGAGGTATCGGTAAATAGCGGAAAGTTTTGCTGAAGTGCACTGACCAAGGAAAATGAGAGAAACACTTTCCTTTTTCATTCTTGCATTTAGCTTTCTTCCCATTTAATTTTTTTGTATGTAGGCAAAATAGTTTTTCATCGTTCTTATTTTTATTCAAACAGAACATTGACAGCTATGAATAAAGATATATTTTTAATTAGTGACAGAGGCTTATTCAGAGAACGAATTATCTAACATCTCTCAACGGGAGTAGATTTAAGAGAAGGATATCGTGCAGAAGAATATTTTTTTTAAAGGATATTGATATTTTATTAAAGAGTGTGCGAGAGAGGGAAAATCCACAGTCCCTAATTAGGAACCGAGACTCCGTGGTCTGGCGCTGTACCAGACGGAGCTATAGAGAATTCATGAGTAAGTTAAGCCATGTTATGATTCTAGAACCATGAATGCATTAAGCGTCGCACACACCCTCAGGCTGAGTAGCCTTGAGGGAGTCGATGTTTACTTTAATACAGACCGAACTATTGTAGAGTCAAAGTTAAACTCAGCTATCACACCAAGCAAATGTGACAAATTTGCTACCTACCGCTGGGAATAAATGTCGACATGATGCTGGCTTCGTGTAAGGATGGAAATAGTGATGACTAAAATGAGCGATAATCTTTATTTTCAGTTTCTACAAGTAGTATAGACGTACACCATACTCATTTTTTTTATATCATTATATTCATCAAATAACCACAATTCATAAATGACCACTCTTTGACTTAGAAGTGACAGGTGACGTGTTAATAGTGAAATTTTGTAAATTATGTTTGAAATTCAAAAAAGTTTAATATAGTACATCTTTTATTTCAACGATCACGCACTACTCTGTTCTCGCGGAAAAAGTACTTGAAATCTCTTGCAGAATGCATAGACTGTCATTCGTGGCCGTCCAAATCAATTAGAGTAAGTATTTATTTGACTCATGAATAACTTCAGGTGTTTAATTATAAAATGCTTCTTATTTTCGAATATAATAGATTGAGTAAACTTGATGTTTTTGTCATTTGTGAATAACTATCATATAGAGGCTGTGTGGCTACAGAAGAGCTGGAGTCAAATTTTTCCAACGGCATTTGTTTTGAGAAGTGTAATGTATTCATAATTAGCTTTATCTTTGTCCGTTCTCAGGAAGCTTTATACATTTGTACTGTACGCCCCATGATGTAGGTTTTCCTTCTATCCTCATTTACGGTCGAATAAAGGTTTGTTTACTATAAAGGAGAACCCATTCAGAAATTTTACTTCACCCTCGTTTATAAGTAAAAGTTTCATGGGTTTAGACCTTCCACAGTTTGTTACAGTATCTTAAATGCAATGAAATTTGAAAATATTCATCGGGATTTACTTCATGAACAAAGTTTCTGGTGAAAACAAAACTTAAAGGCAATTATATATTTGCTTTTTTGTCGAGTTTCGCGTTCAGCTCTACATGGCAACAGCAAATTCAATATCCTGTCATGCCTAGAGAATAATTCAAAAGCTTCAAATAGCCTAATAAGCGAAACAAAACTAACATCATGGAAACTGTTTAGCACCCAGTGGCTGTCGAAATTTTCGCGTTTTACTCAAGTGAGCAGCATCTTTCGTGTTTCCAGAAGCAAATCAGTAACCATGTCACCACCGTTGTCTAGCCAACTAAGTGAAGTTAATTTTTTTCGTTTTGGACACGAAAGATTGAAAACAAGTTCTTCACGATTATGAATTCATTCAGAAGCTGCCGGTGGAGAGGCAAATATCTGCTTTAAGGTGTCCTCTCGAGCTAACAGCACGGTAAATGTCTTTTTGAGATCTTAGGAAAGTTTTGGATGGTGTAACTTGGTCGAAATTTTTAGCTTATGCTCAGGATGGGGATGAGTTTGAACAATCTTTTAACGGAAGAAAACACCTGTAGAATTTTATTCTATTTATTTTGTCTGAACAACTGTGTTTACCAATTCTTTTTTGTTCTGATGGATTTGCGACTATTTTATGTCACAGACAGGTGTCCACTAGGCCCCCTGATACTCCTCGGCTAGTTTAAAATGTTATATAATTTTTATATAATAAATGTTATATAATATAATATAAATCAAAATAGGATTTTCTTTAAAGAGGTATCCGAAATTCAAAATGTATCAGAAAGGGAAAATACGAAAATGAGAAAAGAAAGAGCATGGCTTGTAAAGGAGGAAATCAAGAGAAATATCAAGAAAATTTAGCTCAAGAGAAGTAATATCTAAAATTTTAAATATTATAAACATTTGTATTTCTTGAGACTATTCAGATCACGTCAACTCTGAAAAGTCTAAAAAAAAACAATGTCTCGACTGATCATGAAAGGCGCCACTTTTCAGGCAAAATGAAACTTCAATGGAGGTGTTTATTTTATTGCTGAATAAATTGACTTTGATTTTTTAATTCAGTGGTTATAACATTGAGAAACTATTTTGGTAGTATGATCACGACGCGTAGTTAATTCATCTTCAAGTTGTTGTGATCAAGAACCTTTAGGGTGCGAACGATCTGTCGATGAATTCCAATTGAAATTATTTATTTGTAACGCTTATAATGAAATATTCTTAATAGTGGCTAATTTTGAATGTATATGCATTGCCTATGTGGAATATTCAAACGCTCAGTCTTTACATATGAAATTCGTTTACTCGATTGCTTAAATTGCCAGTGATAAAGAGGCAATCTCCCAAGTAAGTAAAAACGAAAAACAAAAACAAAGAAAAACAGCAGGACGAGATATGACTATAGCGGTTGATGTAAAAATTCATTGCAAAACGTGGACCGTAAAGGCCAAATTACCCTCACTTGTTATGCAATAAGTTATTTTCTTATTTCCAACACGAAAGATTTGCAAGGAAATTTCAATATTTTGGCCCGAACGGCTGGGAGAGTTAGGTAAGCAAATTACTTCTCGATCTCTTTTATAAGAAAAAAAAATTTATAGATAAGTCTACTAGAATTTAGTAGAAATTACTGAACCCTGTAACCATACAAATAATTTTTGGAATTGGTCAAATGCAAACTAATGACTCAAGTCCAGTTGTACAATCTAAAAAACCCGGGGAAGGGAATGGGGTGTTTTTGGCGAGATAGTTTACCATGATAAAAAGACTGAAAAAAAAAGCTGTTCAGTGATTCCAACCCTCCCCTCCCTTGAAAATTTACGATGCTTCATTAATTCAGCCCTAGATATATTAAGGTCAGATGACTCCAAAAAGGAGTGCGAGGAGCGCATTTTTATTCCACAATCAAACCAAATAATCGGGTAGCTACCACATTTTAAAGCTTTGAAATGTACTACGCATTTCTAGCACGTATTTTACCAAGTGTGTATTAAATCATCAACCTCTTGAACGAAAAAAAGTCTAGCAATCATGAAAATAGATACTTTTCATTCAATTCACATTTGATTTTTTAATCTATTCCTGATTTTCAGTCGTTAAAAATTTGGTTTGACCACGTTAATTAAACGCCTAATGATGGACTATTTCCTCGATTCAGTCTTCTAGTGTGCTTTGACACCTTTAAACCACGGTTTTTGAATAACCAATTTAAAGGTACCTCACCTTATGTCTATTAAATCAGACTCTTTAGCGACTACGAAACTCAAGTGTACCGAAAGAGACCGCAAAAATCCCGCATACTTTCCTTACACTTTTGCGTGAATAATTCCTATTTCTGTCGTCAAGGTATTACGATTTTTCTCTTATCTCCACAATTTCATTATACAAATAAAGAATATTGTGACTAATTTTAAACCAAATAGGTCGTTGGTCGAGTTAATTTTGTCAATAGTTTACATTTCGCGATTGCCTGTAGTGTTTCATTTCCTTAAACCTCTATATTTTCCCAAACTGTTTCCGACTCGAACTAGAATATTGAAACGAGTCGTGAATTGCAAAATACTTTGAGCAAATACCTTTATTACCAGCTTCACTTAGGGTTTAAAAAAGATGCTTATTTCATTTTTATCATATTATATAGTTTTGAATTTTTATTAGGTGTACCAATCTATTTTGATGTCTGGTAGATTTCAATAAAATTTACGCTTTAGCTAAACATTGGCCACCGTTATCACAAAAAGAAACTTTCTAAGAGATACCAATGTCTGTCAGTAATAAAAATAAACTCCTGATTTTCACTTCGTTATATTTCAGACCAACCCGATTTCTGGCAACAGCTCATTGACGACTCATAGTCATTGCTGGGTAAAATTCGTAAAAAGATAGGTCGTAAAAATCATTTTCCCTTTAAACTACACGTCACGATTTTTCAGATAGGAAATTATCGCACAAATATTGGACACCGATAAGGAATACGTGACTTCTCTATATCAACTCCCTTTCTTAAGAAGTAATTATTGAAATTGTGAACACAAAAAGTTGAAAAATTAAAGAAAAAGGAGAAAATAAAAGTATGAATTTAATTGTGCAAATTAGTTTACCACAAAATGCAGGAATTGTTACTGAACAGAAGGGCAGATTAGAGCAGAAACCAACAAAACCAACATAAATAAATATAGAATTTGAATTTTTAACAAATGCATAGATAGTAAATTTAGAACGTTCTAATACGGTTTGAGTAAATCTTAGTTTTGTAAAAGTAACTATAAATTTGCAGATAATGACTTAATTTTTCTTTTAGCTTTGCTTTGTACTCTGCATATAGGAATGATTTAGAAAACATATTCATTTACATCACCAAATAAATTTCACAATTTAGGAGGTGAATTAGGGAATCAATTACAGTTTGAGCCGCTTGCTTCAAAGAGAAAAGTGTCAAATGTCTTTCGAAATGAAACTATTTTGAATGGTAAAGATACCGAATTGTTTAATTAAGATAGCTTACTCTATTGTACTTTCAAAGCTCGGCTAAACTTGCTGCCGAGGACCAACGATTTTAATTAGCACCCCACTAGGATCTACACTGAAACGTCTAGTTCAAGAGACAAAAAATTTTCGAACATAGTTTTGCAAACACTTTCCTCAGCTGCAAAAGGACGAAACCCAAACGGTAAGCATAAAGCGGTATTCCCCTCATTCTTCAAAAGGTGTAGAATCATGCAGAAGGTAATGGGCGATTAGGTTACTATACAAGAGCAAATAAGCCAGAGATCTTTTCCTGCGAGTACTCGCGAGTGATGCATCTAATCTAGAGTACCACACAAGGGGTTAAATGATTGCTTCATATTTTACTTTAGTCAGTCGACCATTATGACCCCCAAGGCTGTAAAAAGCAACTCATTTTAAATAAATTTTGATTCAAGTGGATTTCTTAGCAAGTAATATTCACTTTGCATATAAAGATTACCACAATTATAGCTTAGCCATTGTAATTTTGAATAATGCCATCAGGCCTTAAAGTAAAGTAAATAGGAAACTTTTCGAAAACCCTCAAGGCCGTTCCAATTTACTTAACTTCCTTCTAAGATAAATATTCCTAAAAAAGGTTTATAGATTCCAAATTTGTCCCACTTGAAGCTCGAAACGCATAGGGTATGTTGTGCGCTGAGTCTTGAAAGGAGAGGCAATGATCGGTGATCAAAATTATACTTTCATAAATTGATATTTACCATTTCGCAATACTTTCCACAATGCGCTTCTAATTGATCAAGAGCTCGAAACTGCTAGCATCTCTTTTTTCATGATGTCTTGTTGCTGTTCTCAACACAGTGAAAGAAAATTTCAAAACAGCAGGGGAACTGAAAACATACATGATTAACATGGAAATGAAAATCCCTCCGCCCAATCATGGCAGTGTGATTCGCCCCTTTTTTTATTGGTTTTTCCGTTTAAATTGTCTAGTTCCCAACTCATAAATCCCTTTGGAAAGGAAGAATTATCACTATCAAAATGCTTTATTTTGTAACATATTTGCTATTATTATTTCTCGCTCATTGGAGTTTCTCGTTTAATTTGCTTCGATTTCAATTACGCGCAAATCGATTAGTTACGCAGAATCTGCCCTCGGCGCTTTCACAGAGATGCAATGAAAACGTGCTCTCAGAAAATCTCGAAATAGACAGGAAATCAGTCTAATGTATATTAATTTAGAGATTTTATTAGTCCATGAAGTAAGGAAATATAAGTCACATCTAATTTGTTTCATTACTTAGACAGAAATGACTGACACGTAGGCTACTTTTGCCGTTTAATATTTACTGCACTTTGCAAAAAAATTACTGTGCCACGGACTTAGATTTCTATTAAAATACAGTCTCTTTATGAACAAAAGTTTCCATTGGATTTTTTCCATTAAACTTCGAAATTATTTATTTGATTACTGGTTGAAAAAAACGAGGGTCTCTTTTTGGCTCATGAACAAAAAAAAAATCAATCTTGATGGCAATTTCCCGGTAGAGTCATTCGTTTATAAATTAGCCATATGGCTAATAAAGTGAAAACTAACCTTCTAACGAATTTTCCTTAAAGGCAAGTCGAGACGATAATCAAAAGAATATAGTATCATAATTACTCGTATTTACTTCCTGGGAGATATGTCCTTGCACTGTTATGTCGCTTTAAAATGTAAAGAATTTGCAGGTGACTTTGTTTCTTTTCAACGGCATCCTAGCCTGTTTTCAATCCCCTAAGAGTCTAAAGCAATGAATAATATTCAATAACGTTGCTGGAAATCTCTATTCAAAAGTTTGAAGCTCGTAAGTAATTTCTTCATGAAAGTAGTGACGATTTTATTAGGTATATTATTTACAGTGAGTGCATATGCAAATAAGAGCGTAATGTTTACGGTTTTTTCATATATTCCCGCAGCGAGCTTCGCACCGACCAATACAGTAACAGCAGAAAATCCCGCCAGCTTTAGGTGCCTGGTGCATTTAGTTCAGAGCTTCCCCCATCAGTCGGCCTAATGTTCCGACTGTGTCAAATCTAAAATTATAGTACTGCATGGCTTAAATGCGACCGCTTAGACTGAATTTTAGGGAAATCAACTTCAATACAGACTGAAGAAATTTGGTGAGTGTTATGATAATTTTCGGGGTGAAATATTCCCACAACGAATGCTGCTATTTTTCGCTGTAAAATATGGTTACTTGTTTCAAACGGCACAGAAAGCCTAACGAAATCAAGTTAAATTGTCTAGAAAGAGCGCGAGCCGAGCCCTAGAGGCTCGTTTAAACAGGAACCAGCTTTCGCACACAGTGGAAACTTTTTTGAAGTTTAATTGAACACTTTTTGCCGTTTCGAAGGCGGCATAACGCATAATTATTACTTAATGCCTTTAATGGTCAACTTTGAATCGTTCCTCCCCGCCAGAGCGTGGTGAGAATCTCAAGTCAAAACCAGCACGACCCACAATGAGTACATGACATTCTCACGTAGTTTGAAGTCTTACTGCATGAGAGCAGAATCCCCTTAAATTGTTTTTGTGATGTTTGACTTAAAGCGGCCTTACGTTTCCAATGGAATCGCCGAGCTAATTTTCACCTCCTTTAACATCTTGTTAATGATTAGAATTATTATTTCTTGACGACTTGATTTCTCTTAGACTAGGAGCTTTCGTATCAATACCAATGGACAGAAAGGCGTACAGAACACTAGAAAGTTTATCTGTCGCGGTTTTCACAAAAATACCGCACTTATATCATTCAAACATAGCTTGATTTTCCTCGGCGAGTTATAATTATAGAGGAAAATATTGAGATAGAATTTCCTGAAATTTTCTGGGATGTCAACGAGTGTTTGAAGTCGTAATAGTCTCAACCGTTGAAGGTTAAATGTAATAAAATATTGAAAAATTGTATTTCTTTCATAAATTGACCGAAAATGTTTATGAAGGAAGAGAAAAAATTATTTTGTATACAGACACATTGAATAAGCCCTTTCCTATGTATAATTAATGTGGATTTTGTTGTAAACAAAAAGTAATCTAGGTCTTTGTATTAGTTGCAAATTGATGCGGCGTTCAGCTCAGAAGGGAATGTTTTTCATTGGCGGCACAGTTATTTTTTAATAAAACTATTATTTGTTACTTTATAAAACTTACGGTCCTCGTTTTATCATGGTTTAAATGTTGATAAATTTCACACCCCTTCAAATTGAAGACACGGTAACAAGCTGATTGCAATGAAAACAAATCCGGTGAAGTGTGATGGAAACGCTTGCGCTATTAGTTCAGAGCCACAGGTGAAAATCATTGTTAAGTCGTGCTATTGTCTAAGGCCGCGAACTGATTCAAAAGATGTGAAAATACTCAATTTGGTAAATTTTCGGATTATCGACGGGATCATTTTAGATTGCAACACTGAAATGCTTTTAAGAGACCAAAAATTGAGTAAAAAAAGGCTCTTTGTCTAGATCTACAAGTCTTAGTATCAAGAAATGCCATTAGCTCGACTTTAAGACTTAAAGGAAATATTTTATCTGGTCAATCATAATTTCTATAGCAAGGGAATTTAAAATTGTGTAACCATATTGACTGTAAGGTGAGCCTTTTGAGGCAAAACAATACATACCTCATCCATATTTCATGAAAATCACTTTCGACGAAAATGGGTTCTTTGCACTGAACTCTATTTGAATTACTTGAATCTCATAAGTCGTATTTTTCATTATCGAATATTTCTTGCTTTTATTCGGTGTAATGAAGCTTTGTGTAAAATCCTATTACCACATTTGATTAACCAAGTGTTTTTAGTTCCTGTTCCAAAATTGATCAGCGTGCTCAATAAACAGAATCATAAGATTCTCAGTATTACTTCCATGTATTGATCAGTCATCAAAATATCGAATATCGTTACGAAACAAAAACATGCTGTTAAGAAGATGTAAATCTTTAATATAGCTAGAAGATTTGAATTCAAACCACCATTAATCCTCCAACTTATAGGTTTTTTTTTCATTTATTAGGAATTGTCACCTTTTTTCTCACATTCCAAACTGTCTAGCCCAAATTTAAAGAAAAAATTACTAATCCCTTTCACGTTGTTTACCAGAGTATTTTAACGAAATATTTACCCCCCTTGATTAAGAAATTTGAATATCTTATCTTAAGCTTACGCAAATTTCTTTTTCTCGACTGTGATTGCAGGTGATTTATTTTTTGTATACTCTCGTTATTTCGCAATAGCCTCAAATTGCTTTAACTTCCTTTCTTTTACTGAACTTGGGCAATTATAAGTTTGATCTCTATACTAATCGGTTTGTCAAATCTTACTAAGACTTTAAGCTGCGGTCGACTGTTTTTGTGGTTTTCCGTAGTTTTGTTTACAAGCTTAGGAAAACTTAAAGTCCTCTTTTCTGATTATGCTAAGTTCGCTCCTCCCCGAATAGTAGTGGCTCAAGAGCCTCAGAAAGTAGTAGAGAAATTATGGAGACATATTGAAGTAGGCGTTTAAAAAAGTTGTTGGCAATTTTCTTCTGATCTTTAAAATTCTTCACCCATCAGTGGGCCGGAAATAATTCAAAATTGACGTGGTATGTACTGAATTTTTTCTGTTCAAAAAAAATCCTTGTTAGATATGTTGCATAAAACTTCGCAGACACCTTCCTCCTTTTGAGCATAAGAAACGAGCGAACTGGTATCTGTAGCTGTAGTAGCTGTGTAGGAGCGGATTGCCTGGTTTTTTAAAGCGTTCGGGTTTACTTTAGAAAAGATAAAGTTTGTGTGTTTAGTCTGTGCAACATAAGAAATAGGCTGCCAATTGTGTTGTTTAGTAATCGCAACAGGGAAATTGACATGATCGCGAAAAGTTTTCGAGTGTTTTCCGAATTTTCCAGATGGATCAGTATACTGATAAAGCAATGCAAAGGACGTTAGCGCTTGAAAAATTTTAAACGAAAGTTGTATGACAAATCAGAGTGTGCGGAATAACAGTAATTTTCATATTTCACGCATTTTGTGCCATTTGGTAAAAGGCACTCAAGTACTGTAAATCTCTAGCTTTAAAGTAAGAACCCGGAAGGAAATCCTGAATTGATCGAGGGTGATAGTAAGTCTTTAGCGGCAAAGAAACTAATTTTTAAGTTATTTTTTTAGTGTATTTTCGTGGTTTATTTGGTCATTTTTATCCATTCTCTTTAGTATTTAAATCTCATTGTATGAGGGCAGGATTCATTTCAAAATTATTTCATGGTTTTTTAATTTAAGAACCCAGCGTTTGGAATCAAACCACCGCGCAAATCTGGAACTTTTGTTCAAGATTCTTCACATTTTTAACAGTGATTTCATAAGAAGCTTATTTATTCTCCAGAACATTTGAAAAGTCCTACCGTAAGGGGGGCACTTTCCATGATTTTTTAAGATTTAGTTATGGCCTTTGCAGGTTTTTTTGTAGTCAGAAGTACTTATTTGCGTAATTAATGGACACACTATCCTTTCATCATTACATTAACACATTTTTAAAGTGTAAAACATTTCAAATCTGCATAAAAAGCTTGGAACGTGAGAAAAACTTGGAACTTTTCGGGCGAGCATTCATGGTTTAGATTGAGGGAAATGATTAAACTCAGTTTATCTCGATGTAATATCAGTTTTCTGTCCTGTGGTTTTTTTTTTTTTTTTTTTGGTGGGTTTTTTTCTTACTAAATGGTAAAAATGTCGTTCTTGTTACCTCATCATCAATTTAGAAAACCGACGCCATTATCTAAGAAAAAAGATTTAAATAACATTAATATCGACGAGAAAGGGTGTTGTCATCGTTAAAACCTGTGGCCAAAAATGAATGTCTACAATTTATATTACTTTCTACCTTGAAATTTAACAAAAGGAAGATATTGACAAATGTTGAGGTCAGTTTTCCATTCTGAAGTTTTGTCATATGGCAATGCGATTTTAACTGAAACAGCCGGGAAATATTAACTGCCGAGGCCGTTTTTGTTGAAGCCTTCGGCATTACGTACTTTAGGCGAAAATTCGCTCTAGACACAAGTTGATGCAAAACATATGCTTAAATACATTAATCAAATTCCAGCACGAACATAGGATGCTGGATTTGGCGCAAATTTTCCTGTGGAACCGATTAGCTTAATCCTTTCGACCAGAGCACTGAAATTCTTTTTCTTTTCAGTTGATGTGATATTGCCAGAATCCAATTATAACACTCGGCCAAAAATTATATTCTAACTTCCTTCATCGAAACACGCTGTGCATTCGCTCGCCGACAAAGTTATGCTCTGTCGATCTTATCTAAAACAACCGTAACTTTTCAAGATAGGCTGAAGTTTCTAACAGCGATCAATGACAACTTATTTAAAGACTGAGAAATAGATGGAAATAGTGAAGGAAATTTGAGAATTTTAATCGATTTTGCAGATGCTGACCTCGAGACCTTAAAAACTAACAGTCAGGAGCATGAAATAGAACGGAGTTTTAAGACCTGCGAATAAACTTCGATGGTGTCTTAGAATTTCGACGAAATGATCAAAATTATTTAAATCACTGAAATTAATTCTATCAAAATATTTTGTGGTCTTTTCTAAGGTTGATCATCTAATACAATTCAAAGTAACTAGGATATTTGAAACAAATATTTGCGAGGCCTACTCTAGATAAGAGATTTGATGTCTTTATAATTGACTTCTGGAAAGGTTTAGTATTTGTCAACAGCACTCGAAAGCTATTGTGTACAGCTGGAATATTTGCATACTTAAGGCTCGTGCAGCGTATATCGGGTGCGATAAAGAATTTATATTCGAAGGAAACAAAACTTGATCGGGAGACCTCAGGCAAAATCCTGTAGCCCTTCCTAATTAAAAACGTAAGCTTGAGTTGTCTTTTAATCAATGTCGTAGTTGCTTTTCTCTTCATTCGGTCCATGTATCGGTTGTTTGTTTGTTTTCCGTTTTGGCTAAACCGAACTCAGTCAATCATCGATACAAATGTTTCCACTAGGCTGTTTTTAGGCATGTCGTATTTACGTCATATTAACTTCGACTTCTTTTATTACCAGATTACTTGATGCTTGTTCAGCAAACAAAGCCCTCCTTTCAGGACTCCCGCATGGAAGCTTCTTCTGAAAAATCCAACTCGTCTCACTGAATCCTTTTGCTTTTAATCCGCAGAGCATATCACAAGCTTGGGTAAGACCTGCTGAATCATCAAGTAAAGCTATCGACGTACCTTTGAAAGCGCAGCTAATTTATCAAGTTACAATGTAAGTTGAAGTAGTTATTTATTTTTTTCCCGTAGGGACACTTCTGTAGATTTACGTTTATTTATGTTGGCATCATTTTGATCACGAATGAGATGTTAGCATCCTCAGGAAAGTGAAGTGTGCGCCACTCGAAATAGCCAGATATGAAATGCTTGTCAATTGTACTCATCGACTTAGAGAAAGCCGTCAATTTTTACAGAGTGGATGATTTGGAACAATTATCTGTCAATCTAGTACTAAGTTTTCTACTCAACCGCCCCAAAACCTGCGACTTTGATCTCATAGTTCATTAACTGTAAATTATCGAGGATTGAGTGGGTCCTTTCGAGTGTAGCAGAAAAATGATATGATCTCTTTAAGAAAGCGGTAGGTTGCAGATTCGAAATGTATTTTCAACCGGCTGGTGAATCTTCGTAGACATTGACGTCATCCTTCGTCAAAGCTTAACAATATTGGCGTGGCTGTTGATATGTGAACTTCCTTTTTTTCCGCTCTGTCTCTTGTAGAATAATAGTTATAGAGATGTCTTTTCATCTGCCTAAAATGCGAGGTATTATTTCTATCTAATAAAATGCGGCGAAAGTTGACCTTAATCCCTTAGTCTCCATACAACCTGAACAAGGCTCTTTTATATAATGATCTGACGTCCAAGTAGGCCAAAATAACAGTTCAATTAATTCTTAGAAACTATACCACGGGCTCCTTAAATTTTGAGGAGAATGCCTCACCGAAAATAACCCGTGACTTTTCCTTTCTTCTGCCGACGTTAAGTGCAAATGTAAAACAGACAGTCTGAGAAAAATAATCGCACAGCATGAAGTCAAACCTCCCAGGTCTCCTAGTACACAGTTTTAAAATCTACAGGAACTTTCCATCAAGTCAAATATGATAAATTATAAATCCACCAAAGCTCGTGCAATAGTGTTATTTATACCTGAGTAGCTGTTAATTCGACCGCAAGGATTTCAAAGATAATACTAATTTGGAAAGCAACACTTCAGTAATGATTATTGCATAACTGGAAACATGTCATGCAAGTTTTTCCCGCAACCACAGTATTGTTTGACTCTTTCGCACACGAGCAACTGAACTGGCAACATATGCGTTGACTATTTTCGTGCATCGAAAAGACAGTCTGTTTTCAAGCAAGCCATACTTAATACCATAATCAGTCACAATCTACTAAAGTGAAGTATTCAGGACAGATTAGATACAAATATCTAAGATACGAGTATGTCGTTGTTTTAAGGAAAATGTGATAGGAGGAGCAGAAATTTCCTCAAAACAATATTTCTTTCCCTCACAACTGGATTTGAAATGAAATAATAAATTTCACAGTTAAATTAATACTGTCTTTGTCTTCGGCTTGAAACACAAGAGGTCCAAGAAGAGGCGGAAATGTTTTATTCGCAATAGCCATCAATAGAGACCACTTATGTCTATTATCTTTACCTTTTTTCGAAACACGTCAGAGCTTAACTTTAAATGCACTCAATCCATTTCTTATTTGTGAAAACCGGGCTCACTTCTATCTAAAGAACGTTAGCTTGATAATCACACCTGGGGAATATTTGTAGTTATGGCCCCGGTTATTCCAAGGTCGGATTGGATAACGCTATACGTTTTGCTATTACTTATCCGCCAGATAGAGATCTATCCGTTGGATAGCGTTATCCGCCCTTTATACAACCGAGCCCCGTTTAATAACAGTCTTGCAAGAACATTAAGAGATATTTAAATAAAGGTAAGGTCTTATTTGTAAAAATCTTCATCTAAGGTTATTGCCTCATATAATTTTTATCTGCTTCCAATAAACACCAAAAAGGTTTTGTTATAAATGCCAAAAGCCAATAATGAAATTTATACTCAAACCATAGAGGTACGAGTTCATCGACTTTTATTCCTGATGGTGTTTTTGTTGAATTTGGTATCGGTTGTTTGCCAAGATACTTCTTTGTCACGTGGACATCCTATGCTTAAATAGCACTGAAATGGAATTTGCAAAGGAAATGAAGCTCGCTGCAAACGTCTATAGATGCATATGCAGAAAATCTGACTAAGGTACACCAATCCAAAGCAAAAAAATGATGCTAATTACGAAAGAGGCGGATTTATGCATTCAAGCTTTTTCATAGTACATTTCGCCTCACTTGTCACAAAAAATTAGAAATCGTTTGAAGAATAATTATCGTCGACATAACTACCAATCACACCTTTTTCAAACAATTTTTACTTCTGACGTATTTCATTTGAGTGTTTAAAACCAGTTTTATTCCATGTGGCTTTGGATTTTAACTTGGCTTCTTCATATGGACTCTCTTTATTTTAAGGCATCCAAAAATATTTTTCTTTCCGTAAGACACCTGCGGCTACAAATTTCATTCACTCGAGTTCATTATTATCAACTGTTTTGAGCGTCAAAATTGTTTTCTTCCAGGCACATTTTACAATTACTACACCCGTTAGGTCTGCATCTAATATATCTTTAGTAGTTTAGGCTTATGTTTCTTATTGTAGAATCGTGCATTTAAAATGTGATATACAGCTTTCTTTTAAAAATATGGAAGCCATCTTAAGCAATGATTAATTTGACAGTTAAAACGCTATTTTTGCATCGTTGACATCAGTGTCCAAAAGTTTAAATATTGACTTAACTTCAAGCTTTAAAGCATATAAAACATCGAACTTTTCTAAGTATAATTTGACAGGATTACTTTTTTGCATTAAAACGGGAAAATGGAATTTATGAAAACTTTTCGAAAATAAAATAATTTGTAATGAAAATTCTCGTGATGCGGGTTGACTCGGTGTAAGAATCTGTCGAAATTCAAAACGGTGTGAGTTAGCGAGAGTCGTATATCGCTTAATTCCTCGATACACAGATTGCATGCATCGGGCGAGAAGACGTTTTTTTATTTCACGTCCATCGTTGGTCCACATAACACCTCACCTTGTTATTTCACCGTTATTAAAGTTCGTGAATTACGCAAACTGGTGGCATTGAAGGTAAATATCTTAGATAGGACTGGTAGATAAGACTGGTAGGTCTTCGACTCGATTTGGACCACAAGTTTCTAGAGGTATCGACATTTGAAATCTCATGCTCACATGTACCTGTCTATGAACAAATGAAAAACATCGTAATACCCCAAAAATTTTCATGTTTTTATTTTTCCCAAACCTCGAATATTGAATATGTTAACTTTATTTTACTGAGAGGACAGAAGAGACGAAACGCGTCTTGAAAATCACCAATAATTTTCTTTTTTGTTTAAGAAGAAAGAGATGGAAAATCGCAGGAAGGAAACTCATTTTCGGCAAATTATCGCTAACTTTACGCCTTTCTTTGTTTATCATGACATTGTTCTAAAGCTTCTCTTTTTTATTTTATTTTTCATCTTACTGCATGTGTGGAAAACTTAATGGCTTTTACCCACACATAAATAATTTCACCTGCTGGCTGTCAATTATGTGTTTGACGAGCTGGCCCAAAAACAGATATCTATAGTATTCCCCATGTGTCTGACTTCCTAATTGTGCCGTTTTTTCCCCATTATGGCACTTACGCGTGTTGCAGTAAATAACTTAATGTATAATGAGGTTTTCAAAGCAATTGACGGCTTTGGATAAAAGCCTTAACCTCGATAATATTATGCACAAAGGCTTTTTATGCGTAATACCGCAAATTTGAAACGAAGGCGTAACATTGATATGGTAATTTCAGAACCTCCTAACAAGTTTTCAATTACTCTTCACCGCAGCGCAAAAACATCGCCGCTTTCCCTCCACTTTTAATTTCTTTTAAACTAAAAGCACTCAGGTATTCAAAGTCTGGATTGAGGCCTCGCCAAGATTTTTTTTCAGGAACCGTCTAACAGTTCACCTTTTCCATATATGTATGCGTCTCTTAGAAACTGGACGAGTCCAACGAAAGAAGTAATTACATGAAGGTTTGACGGAAAGTTTTTTTTTCACAGAAGTTGGCAAAATAATTCCTAATGTTTTTGTTGATATTGTTATTTGGAGTTTTTAAGTACTCTCCCAAAATTAACGAAAACCGGTCCCAAATTCGGAATTTTTATGACATTTTGAATTGCCAATGAGATCCTGTTATGTAACAGAATTTGACCATAAGAAGAAGTAGAAGTAGTGATAGTTCAATAATTTCTTGGCTTTGCCAACGCCAGCTGAAAGCACATTTATTTTCCTGGCTCTGAATATTTCCCATAGTGATTATTAATCATACTGCACTATGTTTATTGATTCCCTTTTGAATATCTTTTATTAAAAGTCAACTTTCCCAATTTGTTAATCGAACACCGAAATGCGTTCGTCTTTTCAAATTTCGACGCAGCCCTTCGCCAGACTTTATCAATTGTGTTTAGAGTCCGCCCCCACTCTCTCCCCCACAGATAACTGTATAATAACATTCGCTCAATTTGGCGTCACAGTCCAGGACTCAAAATATTCTGCAGTGTTAGAAAAAAAATTACATTGACGCGGTGTTTTTGCTCACAATGGGGAGTTATTTATAATCCTGGCATAGCCACCCTTACAGATCTTGTAGAACACAAATTAATATGCCAAAATTGCCGTTATGTTCTTTAATACACAAAAGTGGAGTCGAAGAAAAACCATATTTTATCAAAAAATATCTCATATGAAAAGAGCTAATGAAGGATTCTTTTAAAAATTATAATTTTCTAGCCCAAAATTTTAATAATCAAGCCCTTAAACTGCATCTGCTACAATTACAAATTTTGTTGGTCTAAAGATTCACAGTATAATTTTTTTTTCACCACGTTTCAGTTTGGAAAAAAGGATCTACTTGTAATTGAAAACGTAAAGTATTTTCCTAAAAGCCCTCTTGATGACACAGACACTTACAAAAAACAGTTATTGCCAACCGCCAAGCGCAGTTCAAAATTCATAATGGGTCCATCTTTCGAACTTCTAGATGGGAGCGAAACAAAATTTGTCTATATGTTTCAAGCCGCCTTATCTGATTCATTAACTAAAGAGAATGTCTGTTTTTGGCTTAAGTATCAGCTTTTAATTAGTAACTTTGATTCTACTACCCCGCACTTAAACTTACACTTGTTGGTGTAAATTCTGCAAGCACACTAACTCAGATGACGGCACGCTGTGTGGCAATAGATACATCGTAATGGGCGCTTTTCGGAAACTGAGAATAAAAACGTTTCGTGAGGGTAGCTGGCTATCGCCAGGAGGGCAGATCGCTACCTCAGTGAGAACTCCAGAACTTTTTGTCTATAAAAAACTTTCTTCGAGTCCTTTGAGAAGGTCAAAATCATATTTTCGTTGCATTCTTTTTAAGTGCATGATGTCCTCTTCGTGAATATTCTCATGTAAGTGAAATAGAAAACACATTGAGATATGGTCTTGCATTACACCCGTGCAGTATAAAACAACAAGCTAGCAAACAGATAACATATTATTCTGACTTTTGCATCTGTGATTTTTTTTTTTTTGTTTTTGTTTTTTTTTTGTTAGATCTGAACGCAACTTGAAGTCTGGTAGCCTCAGGGGAGGTTTCTAACCATATCATATCTTGGCGGTGTTCACGATGCATGTTCCAACTCTTCGATTGGTCCTATGTCTAATGGTTTGCTGCGATTTATGGCTTGCCAGCAGCCAAAAGCTCCAACTTGATTCAATCGATCAATCGGAATTAGTGCGCAAAGCCCGTGAAATTAGGCAACATCGTCAAGTTCGCCAAACGCGTCAACCTCGTCAGGAACAAGATAAAGAAACGAAATGCAAATTCAAATTTGCCCTGCTGGATTTTCCTCCTTACATAATGAACCAAAGTATGAACAAAGGATTTATGTATCAAACCCTAACATGGTTTGTGGACATGGCTTGCTTTGGTAGAGAAGCAAAAGACCCCATAGCTTGCAAAATGGTACCTGTATTTGTTCAAAATCAAGACGAGATGGTGAAATTGATTAAAAATGAGTCAGTTGATTTTGGTTTTCCAATTCTATCGGATGCAAAACAAAAACTTACGGGTCAAGACAGTGTGACACTCATCCGGGCATTTGTATCATCGGGGTGTTCAATGATTGTGAACTTAAAGCAGTGCGAAGCAGAGTCACGGGAACAGTTATTGACTTCCATTACGTCACAATGGCCGATATTGGCTTGTATCATATTGCTGTCAGGGATATCTGGAGTGATCATTTGGCTCTTGGTAAGAGTTAAGGCTTATCGTCAATCTATACTCAGCTTCTAAAGCTCTTTAGTTTTAATTTTACGTAAGGTTATATTCAAACTTAATTGTTACGGCTTTAGCATAAAAATAGTACAAGGAGGAATCGACGGCACCATTTTTGAGTTAACGATTAGTTAGGCACACCTTATCAGTTCACCCAAATAAAAAGCCAGACTGAAAAAAAGGATCTCACAGTGAATAAAGAGAAAACTGTAATGCCCTACAATTCTCGAATCGTACAAATAATGTTTGTTTGTTCGTAGATAAAAAGGACCCTTGCAATGACGCAAACTATTAAATAAGAACATTTTATTCCAAGATGTCACAATTACGGGTACAGTAAAACTGCTGCGAATTTTGTGCGTTGTAGCAAGGCCTTAAGTAAGCTAGAAGTGTTTTCTAATCAATTTATTTACTCCACATTAAACTGCACCTTTATGTTAGGTTTTTTTTTATATATAATTTATTAAACAGTTATACCGATTTTCATGACAGGAACACCGTTCAAACGCGGCTCAGTTTTCACCCTCGTTCACGATAGGATCACCAGAAGGCTTTTGGTGGGCAGTGGTATCACTTACAACAGTAGGGTAAGTTGATTTAGATTTGGGTATCAGTAGGATCTTTTTTTCACTGCGTCCTTTGAATACGATCAAAGATAAGCAATATTGTAAAACCCATTTTTGTCAAAGTTAATACTTGCGTTGGGTTTGTCAAAATCTCTACCAGGGTTCCGTTCTTCAATTGGCTTCCAGTCTAACAAATAACTAGTTGTTACGTGGTATCGGGGTTCTCTTGTTCACAGTTCTTCACAGCTCATAAACCAAAATGAATAGTAGCAAATAATTTAAAAAAATTTTTTTCATTGCATATCTTAAAACTATGTTTCTGTTTTTTTTTTTTTGACATAGTGGATAGTGTGAGGAAAGGAGGGTGGGAAGGGGAATGAGATTCGTCAAATTTAGATAAAGTCATAATTTTTAGCTAAAACGCACATACTCTGAGTAGTTTCAATTTAGTTGATTATGATCATTATCGATGGGGCAGAGTATTTATTACGCTACAGGAGGGAGGCAGTGTGGGCTAGTGGTTGGAGTGCTGCATTTGTAATCTGGAGGTCCCAGGTCTAAGCCCTCCACCCTCCGCTACTCACCGGATTTGTTTACGGTTGCCACGAGTTTCAGAGTTCAACTCCTTGGCTGCGCTTTGTATAGAGCCAAATGTTCAGCTTGCTGCCAATTGGGATTTTCATTCATTCTCTCATTTACAAATTCAGTCATTTGTACTGATCCTGAAAAGCCCCATCGGGGAAATGGTCAATTAAGTAGACATTAAAAATTTTTATACTTACGACACTATCCTCAAAGCGCAAAGATATTTGGTTCCTTTTTTCTCATTAGGTACGGTGATAAGACGCCTAAAACCCTCTGTGGACGTGCATTTGGTATAATGTGGATCCTGATAGGAGCAATAATGTTGTCGCTGTTCACCGCCTTATTTACAAATGCTATGCAAGCTTCCCTGGATGGTACGAGATGTAGGGACATTGGTGGCAAAAAGGTTAGTAACCCTAACATGAATACCTAAAACCCTTTGCACCCAAACATCATTATGCCCCTTTCTCCATACTTTTCTCTATACATTTCTTAAGGTGCTGGAAAAAAATGTTTTTTTAACAATCAAGAGCTTCTTTAGTTGGTGATCATTTCCTTTATTCTCATGACCTCAATGTTTGATTCAGGGGTGATATTGTAAGGAGATATATTTTCTTTTTTTCAAGTTAGATTCTCTACATTTTTCAGTTTATCTTAACCCAAGCTTCGAAAGGTTTTTTTTTCCTGAAAAACGTCTAGTGCGAATAAATGAAATCCTACCCTCATCGATCGAACTCAGGAACAACTCAAATGCAACTCGGCCCTGTGTGCCCTGTGTGCCCTGATTCACAGGGCCGAGTTGTTAAAAGCAGGGTTCAGATAATTCAGGAGTAATGTGAAATCTTATTTAAGATCTGAAAGTTGTAAAAGAAAATCAATATAACTCTTTTTTGTCTATACTTATGCATCTATCATCGGCCATCCCCTGGGGGGGGGGGACCCCGGGCAAATTCAACGTTGAATGGGGACTTATACGGGGATTTGAACGATTAACTTACCCTGGAGGCGGGGGAAATGAGGGAGGTTTGTTTTCCAAAAGCCTTGCACCGCGGGGAAAACAGGGGACTTTGCAAACGAAACAGGTCAATTTCAAGTTGTCTTAAATGATTAAACATGAAGACCGCTGTGCAGAAGAACGTGGTCATCGCTATTGTTGTAAATATTCGATTTAAGTCCAAAAAGTCAGCTGAACAGACATCGTGTATTACACTGTATTTTGGTTAACATTTTTTTGTGTAATTGTATTTAGCAGTACATTGAAATTTGCATTGTTACGAAAATGTAAGCACTATTAAAACATGACATTTCGTTAAGGGTATAAAGTACTGTTTTCTTGTCAGGTTTCAAGCTGCTCAAGGTGATTCCCCTCAGGGAGGGGAACTTTGATTCCTCTGAGTCCCCACCTTGGAGGGGGAAAATAAGAACTTTGACAGGGTCCTTTATAAAGTCCCCAACTGGGCCCTGAATAGAGAAAATTATTCGAAAGAGGTTTTTGAACAAAGGTATGAAGAACACGTATGAAATTTACCCCGGATTAGCACTAGTCAGACTTCGAACAACTGGGCCCTGAATGACTGATGTGTTTATGATCGCTGGAGTAACTAAGAATCATGAGCTACCTGAGTCAGAGGTGAAGAATGAAATTCACATTAAACAATTTTAATTGATTGTCGAAATGGAAAATTGCTTTGGTTTGTACAACTTCGGCTATTATTGGCCCTTTCAACAACAATGCCTTCCCTGTTCCTATTATCTAGGGTGGGTCTTTCCGGAACTACAACTTAAGTTTAATTTCGTTGTACAGACTTTTCATATTCTTTCCACTAAGCCTTAATAGATTGTGCCAGTAAAAGTAGCATGTTATGCTAGTGGCATTGCTCGATCAGTTTTTTGAAAATTATACTACTTTTTCTTTAAGTGTGCTTTACCAAAAAAAAAAAAAGAAACGAACGAAGTCCAAATTATGTATTTGTTGTCAATTAAGCATGAAATCCTCTTCATTTTGAGATACATATTTGCTCCGACAAAACATAATTAACCATTGGATTCAAGACAAGAAGCAGTGACTTGTCGTGTCAACATGTAAGTTTCTCTTCGCCGCCATTTTGTTGCCTGTGAAAGCGGGAATTATAAACGATGCAATCTTTACTAAGGGTGTGCCCAGTCCTCTAGACAACGAACGATTCTATACTGCGATAGCCCTCTTCTTCCAAGACATTGAAAACCTGAAAATAGACATGATCCATGGACCGAATTTGAAAATAATCGATCTTGGAGACCAAACAAGTCAAGACTCTGATAACGTTTCCTTCAAAATAAGAAAAAATATCGCCCACCTGGCGTATAAAAATTTGTCTGACCCCAATTTACTTGTTAGGTGGGTGTGTCCAACAAGAATCCTGAAACGCATATAGTTGCTAAGGAGCTGGATGCAGACTTTGTCCGTAAGTCATTCTTTTCAGGTTTATTTCAATGTCCTTGTATAATGTGTTGCATGACCGTTTTTCTTCAGGGACGATTGCGAAAGTAAAGAAATAACCTTAAAAATAATCAGTTTTTAATTCCAAACAGTCATATTTCGTATATTTTTGTATGAAAACTCTCAGGAGAAATTTCTCCGCCTCTTTTTCTCCTTTTATTCATGTAAGAACTTGCGTTGGCTGACTAATCAAATAAATTTTTGATTAACAGAGTTCAAAAACCTGGACGAAATGCAAAAAAATCTTAGCCGAGGAACAATTGGAAGAGTAATGGTGGATCGCAATACTGCCTTTCACTTTCTGGATAAATCTGGTTTAAAACGAAACAGGCAGATCCGAATGATTCGTAACATTGATTATCCAATGGAATATTACCTGGCTCACGTGAGCCATGACGTAATGGGGTCACCGAATGACACGAACAATTTTGATGACGAAGTATTGAATAGAAAAACTCAGCTTTCGGCTTGCGGGGAAAGCCTGAAAGAGTTATCACCGGATGTGGTTGCAGTTGCAAAAGACACTGCCAAAGAGCAACTTATCCCTGCCGAATTACAGGTAGTTAATTGTTTTGTTGTGAATTTTATATATTTCACCATGTGCCATTCTTCTCGTTATGTCTAACATTTATTCTGATGCAATCAACAGTTTGAAAATTATTTATATCTTGTAGACAGCGGATTTGTCCGATGAAATGGAAGGGTTATTCTCCACTGGCTCACAAATGACCAAATTTATTTTATTTGCCTTATTGGGAATATTTGCCTTCCTATTAGTCATCGGCAAACTATGGGAAGTCTACACCAACTGTAAGCCAACGGTACGCAAGAAGAGAAAAGGTAACTGCCTCTAAATTAATTTACCTTAGGTTCCTGTAGAGTAAATATAAAACAGATAGCTTTAAGAAAACTGTTCTATCTTAATTAGTATAAATCGTGGTATTGGTGCGATTCTATATTTTTTAAATTCAGCTGGCAATCAAAGGCAGTGAGACAGTCACTTGTCCTTCAGTTGGTCAGTCTGTCAGTTATTTAGTTAGCTAGTCAGTCAATCAGTCTGTCTGTCTGTCTGTCTGTCAGTCCAGACAGTAGGTCAGTCAGTCCGTCAGTCAAGCAGTCGGTCGGTCAGTCAGTCATCCAATCAGCCAGTTAGTTAGTTGGTCAGCATGTCCCTCAGATTTTAATCATAAATGCGGAAACCTTCGTTACATGAAACAGTTCAATACATATTAGAAGATCGGTCTGTCAGTCAAATAATAAGGAATTACGTCAGTCTGTCTGTCAGTGAGAAAATAGTCATTCATTCAAACGATTAATCAAAGATCGACTATGTGTGTACTGACAAACGAAAAAACAAAAGTAATATGTTCAGGGATTAATTTAGTGGTTCATTTCTTTAAATGTCCTCTACGATCCGTCTTCTAGGACTGATTCCTAGCAGCAGGAAGATGTCAATGATGCAAAACTTCTTAGATTTGGAGGAACGTCTAAAAGACATAACGTCTGATCTACAAAAGTTAAAAGAGGAATTTGAAGGTGCCACGAACGGTTTGTCTCCTGTGGGCAGTCCTGAATACTCAAGACCAAAAGAACGCTCATTTTTTAATAATATGCTTGATCTGAATGGAAAGAGTAAAAATACTGAAACAATACTATAACACATAAAAATTATTTGTCATAAGTAGACTCAGATGGCATTTTACTCTTCTGAGATTTCCATGAGCAAAAAAAAGGTGAATGCGTCACACTGAAAAGGACCTGTAACTGACTTCTTGTTTATTACGAATTGTATTGAATTCTTTTCCTTCCTTTTTCCTATTCCCTTTTTTATTTCCTTACTTTCGGTTTTTAGGCTAACAAACCAATACGTTAAGTTCAGAGAAAGGTAGCAAGTGAATCAAGAAGGTTTATAAATTTTTCTCATTCCATTGCAATCAGTTTTGGCTGTCTACTGATGAAATAGCTTGTACTGTTAACTACAGACTCTACCTGGTCCGTCCTGACGGATGAACAGAATCGAGGGTTAAGAATAATTACTTCGGTATTTGTTGTTCAGTGTGTAACTTCTGGGATTGTTTGTTTACACTCTATGGAATTAAATTTTCACAAGTGCTGGAAAAAAGCAAGCTTTTGAGAATGGGTGGTGCAAATTGGAAGTATAAATGAAGAATTCCTTTCTTTATTAGTTATTTAAGGAAGAACTTATCATATAAGGTATAATATAACAATAATTGTTTCTTGACCTCTCTTCGCTTCGTTAGACGAATGCAAGTGTAATTTCAGGCTGGTCGCTTTCTCAATTTCTTTCGCAAGAAGCACGAGATTTTATAACATTTCAGGAGACTTTTGGAATCACTAACTTTTAAGATTATGGAGGGCAGATGCAAATGGTCACCGAAGACTCTCGGTTAAAAGTTAAGCCTAGAGCATGCATAATAAACTCTGATTATAGGAGAATAACTGCCAGCCTAGTACCATTGTTTATTTACAGGCAATAAACTCCAATCCAGGTGATGTCTCTCAGAGAAATGCATCCCTGTTTTGCACTTGAATCTTGCACCGTAATCGATAATTTTTTCGTGTATCTATAAATATATTTTTTAATTCAGGCAAGACTGTATATAGAAGCATATTTTTGTAACGTCAGATATGCCACAAGTGAAAGCTAAATGATGTTTACGACTTGTAAAGTAATCATAGGAATCTTTACTTTTAGTGATCAAGACCTATACTGACTAAGGTATAGTTATAATTCCAGGTGAAAAAAAAAAAAAAAAAAAGCTTAGACGTTAGATCAAATAGTGTCCACAGTGAATTATCTTAGGGACCCTACTCGCACACTAGATAATTTGTTCCCTTGAATAAGAATTTTTTAGGCTCGCTCTTGTACCATGAACAAATTAATCGCGTCGCGGCAAGCAACTACAGGAATGGGCTGACAAATTAGAAAAAAAAAGATGAAGAATCTTAAATCTCGGCCAAAAAATTAGTTACAAGAAAAGAAGGTTTGGTTTAGTTTAAGGTTTTGATATTCAGTCTTATTTAATCCTTGTTTGAAAAAATTGAACAAAATGTGATGTCTCAGACTTCTAAAAAATTAAAAAAGAAACTCATAACCCCTAACGTTTCGATCAAAAAATAAGATAATGATAATTGCTTGGCAAAATTACTTCTGCAGACATTTAATTAGGATGTTTAAATTCTCTGCCAGGGGTCTCTGTAAGCCCCAAAGTTTTCCGTGTCTGTATTTGCATAAGCTTGAGTTTCATGATGACGCGACAATATATATACCTACCAGAGGATGGATAATCTTCATTGTATAAGTGGTGTAAGGAATCTTTAATGAAGAATTAAAGATATTGTAAAACTGTAGAATATTAGGGACAATTTTGTATAAAGTCTTTTAGTTTTAGTCATTTACGGGCTTAGTTTGGACACTATTTAGACTTCCTCCCCAACCCTCACCCCTGTGAATCTTATTTCAAGTAATTGTAAATAAACTGGTGTTTTTGAATTTTCATGTTTGTTAAGGTTACTGGATTCTGGCCAATTTTCATGAAAATCCAACAAATCTACATACCCTGTAAATTCGTTTAAGTAGAGGTAACTTGCGTAAAAACAAACCTCGAGCTTTCGTTCTCTAAAGAAATTCTCAGTTTTCGCCTGTCATTGCGGTCACACCGCCGACCAATGGAACGCGACATCGATTCCCTGCTATGTCTCTAGACGAAAAACTCCTAAATTCGCGGGAAAGGTAATTTCACAAGACGGGGAAAATGAATTTTCGATGGTTTAACGAAGTCCTAATGTTCATCCTCAAAGAACATAAAGAAAAGTGAGTAAAGCAAGGTAAGGAAAAAATAATTTGCCTTCTGTTTTCTCGGCCTGGGCTCTCTCACGACGATTCCTTTTTTGTTGAGGAATCTGATTTATTAACATATTGCGAAATGTTACAGATTGCCCTCCGTTGTGTTGTGCAAGACGCCATTCAAACAAAATATGCAAATAAAAATTCCGGACGAAACCCCGTGGAAAACGTTGACACTGTGCTTGAGGCCTCTCCGGTTATGACACCTTTCACTCTTCGGTAAAGTTTCCCTTTACCCTTTAACTCCCTCGATCTAATTAGCAATTCTCCTCACTCTTTACCATATAAATCTTGTGATATCAGTTCGGATAACTTTGGTATCGGATCGACTAATGATCCCCTAATTGATATTTTTCTCTATTCTCATCACTTGTCTGCATGATATTGTATTGATGATGTAAGGAGAATTTATGTCTTGGTCACCCATGGGAGTAAAGGGTTAAGACATTCTCTCAGCCATATCTCCCTTTTATTTCAAGATTTTGTAATTTTCATGTCCCTTAAAACTAGAATTGACTGCTTTCTTTGACTAAAGAGCGAAAAAACGAAATTCTAATAGTTTTGACCAGATTTTGTTGATAGTAAGCTGAGTATTCGTTTATATGATTTTAGTGGAAGTTACGAGTTGCTAGCCCTAACCCAAAAGAAAAGTAAAAGGAGAATCCTACAAGAGTTAAGATGAGTGGATAGGGCCTTAAGAATAATAAATAAATAGATGGACAATTCAAATTCGAGAGTCAAAATCATTTTTGTGGTTAACCAAAAATATCTGAAACAATGGACCAATGAATGATGTCCACATTTCGTAATCGGCAGCTGCACCCGTGAGCTGTGAGGACTCTTGTTGACTTACAATTGTTCAGCGATTCTTGTCTTTTGTTAAAAGGGAGATTAAATTTCACTGCGTTTGATATTTCACACAACCTGTACTTCAACAAATATATAACTCTTTTACAACTGCAGTAAGTCAAGGTAGGTGGAATCTGGAGCCTTCCTGCTTTCGATCCCGAGTCGAGTCGCTATTTTGCCGAGATAATAGTCTGAGTTGTTTATAAAAAAATGACACAACTTATCTCTTTAAAGAACGAATATAGTGCAAAATTTGTATAGATTTCTTCCCTGTGAAATCCTCAGAGGATTACCACAAATGTACCTGAAGAAAAGTACAAATATATGCATTTGCCTGAAATCTCGCTGCAAATATTTTGAAAATGATTATTTTCAAAGCGGTTCACCGACACTTCAAGACAGCATAAACATTTTTCCTTTTTTGATTCCTTTATGCAAATTTCTGGTGTTTGTCACTGGTTAAAAAAAGCATCACATTTTTCTTTCATAGCACTCTTAGTAAGAAATTTTCATTTCTACTAGGAATACAAACAGTATATTACCTTATTTTTCGTCCGTTTTGGCTGTTCGTTATCTCATAAGCGATAGTCATTGTTTGTATTCTCAGCGGGACTGTAAATTGTTTTCTTTCTTTTTTATTTTTTACCCAAGCGACGATAAGAGGTGGCAGCAAATTTTAGTCAGAATCATTTCCATAAAAATACCAGCTGACTTACCGCCATCAGCGCTATAATATATGCTCTAATGGATCATGTTCCTAACTCTTTAAGATACAATCTTCGTTCACAGTCTTTATCGTCTTAATTTGCTAGTGAAGGTTTTAATTAACTTGGATTCGACTCTCCTGTTTTCTGCTTCCAATGCGAAGTTTTCCCACCTTCAAGCTCTCTTGTCGCATGATTTATGCCGATAGCAGGAATTGGAGGTGAGTATAACGTTGCATTATTTAAAACGTGAAATTTTTTCCAGCAATTTTAAGTTGTATTTTACTCTAAGACTGACTAAATACCTTGGAACACAAGACCACGGACAGAATTTCCACATTCGTTCTTGAGTTGTTCGATTTGCGTGCAGCATGCAACAATTTTTCGGTCTTTTTTCCTTTTCAAAAAGGTACGTGTTTCCTCGAAATATTGCATCGTCATCATGGCAATTTATTCATACAATTTCTTTATTGTTTGTAGAAAACAATCCTCATCGAGTTTTTTGAAAAATTGTTTCCAAATTTATTGAGATTTGTCCATTTTATTTGCTCATCTCTCGTGCTTTACGTAGAAATAGCGACTTCCCTACCAGTTAAGTCCTGGTGTGAATGTTTCGCTTCGATTCAACCCTCCCATTGAAGATGGTATTGTTGTGGTAATTTTCAGTACACACTGTAGAGTTGAATTTGCACCTGCCTCCTAGCATAGTAAGCTGCTATCCCCGATTTGCATTCGTTTCATCTTTTTTAACATGAACATTACATTCATATGGGTATTTTTTTTTGCGGCTCATTATTTTTTCACGAGGTTCGACCGTTCGGGTACGGCGGTTTGCACTTTGTCTTGAGATTCTTGGCAAAGGATTTTTGAGACATTGTTTTCTCTCTTCGATATAACAACTGCCATTTAAAATTTCCCCTGGACATGTCTTAATAGCTTGCTGACTTCACTTCTTTCAATCGCTTCAAAACAGTAGAAAAAAATTCGACGGTAAAAATAAAGTCATTTCCGATTTGCCATTCTCAGGAAACGTTGAAGCAATTTCTGAACTGCAATTTTTCACTAAAAGATGGAACTCTGAATAATTTTTCGACCGGTACGAATCTAATAGATTATAAATATTTCAATTGAAAAGAAAACTTTGTAATAGACTAATTTATGAATTACGTAGTAAGTCTCAGGCTTGAGGACAAATTAAACTTTGACTATAAATTTCTTCGTCCGCAGAATTCAATATGTTCAGAGTCACGATTGGATTCATCTTAGTTCTGGTTTGCTTCGTTACCTTGCCCGCTATTAGTTATTCAAGTCATAAATCGAAATTAGTCCGTCGGGCCCGTGAGATCAGGCAAGAGCGACAAACGCGTGAACTCCGTCAGGCGCATTCTAACGACACCAAATGCCGATACAAAATGGCTCTTTTGGACGTGCCTCCATATATATTGAACACAGCTAATAACAAGTCAAATAGAGGGATTCTGTACGATACGCTCAAGTACGCTGTAAATCACGCTTGTTTTAACGAAGAAAAGTACATGGAATCTCATCTGAAATGCTTCCAGGATCCAATATCTGTAGGTAACTACGACGAGATGATCAAACTGATTAAAGAAAAGCAAGTGGATTTTGCTTTTCCTATTCGGTCCGACATGAAAGCTAAGCTGACGACTGAAACCAATGTCACGCTCATCCGGGCATTTGTCTCACCCGGGTGTTCATTGATAGTGAATACAAAGTTATGCGAGCAGGATTCTCGGAAACAGTTGATGACTTCCATCACGTCACAATGGCCGATATTGGCTTGTATCATACTTTTGTCAGGAATATCTGGGGTTATCATTTGGCTTTTTGTGAGTATCAGTGGCCTAGAAAAACGTATTAATAATGCATAAACATTTTTAAATGCTGACAACTATTGAATAAGCAATTAATTTTTTTAAGTCGAGTCGATAAATTCAATTACTCCAGAGCATAAGAGATGTAAATGATGAATCATCCCTAACCCTAATCTCATATTTGGTCATCTTTATTCATTAACATTCATAGTGCTTAAAATTATAGAAAAAACTGTCAAAATTAGCTTAAATTATCTGAAATCGAAGTTTATCGCGAAAGATTTTAATCAGGTGAAAGATAATTGTGCTCCTGAGATATCGAAACGCTATGAGCGAGCTCGTAGCGCGCGTGCAGCGAAGCCCCATACACATAAAAATGGAGGTAATGTTATTTCAAGACTTCGAGGTAGGTCGTTGTAATTTAAGTAATTTGGCTTGTGGACGGACGTGTAATATTCATTTTAATAGCGTGCTTTTGTTTTGAATCCCTTAGGAACATAGAGCAAATGAAACGTACTTTTCACCATCGTTTACAATTGGATCGCCTCAGGGGTTCTGGTGGGCAGTGGTATCACTTACAACAGTAGGGTAAGTTATCGTATTTTTCTTTTGTGTGAAAAAAAAAGCTTTGCGGGTTTGTGAGCAAAAATACAGACGCCACATTTGCCATGTGTTTTTTCTTCTTGGCGACCAGTCAATATTTATCGCCCGAGGGAGGGGTGGGTTCCGTTGCTTTTTTTTTTGTTCTTGTTGGAGGAGGGTCACGTGGTTTCCATAGGGAATGGGGTGGATATCAGTCGTCGCTAACCGAGTATAAATGGAGGACTAGAGAGAGAATTGAATGTCGCTTAACTGTTAATGGGAAGGGGGAGGGGGGGGGGTGCTTTGGAAAGGGAGTTATAATTATTATAGAGCCTTATGAGGGGACCAGGTAAATTCTACCGTGACATAACCAAAATTCTCCAAACCCTACCCCCTCCCTTCAGAGATAAACCTTGACGGCCTTATTAGTTATGATTAATTCCCATGAATCTCACGTTTTAAGGACGGCTTAACTTGATAAAAAGATGCCGCAAGCCATCTAATTCGTTGGAAGTGTATGCTTGCGTTTTGAATCACATATCTTTACTCTCTTAAGTCCTAAGCTACAAGATTGCACAGGTTCAAAAGCGAGGGCTGAAATTCTCAGGAATGGCTATTCACGTTGATTTGTTTCACCCGAAGCTCCACCAGGTCAATGATGAACGTATTTTTTCTGGTTAAAATAGAATTTTTACCAAGTTTTACACTTAATTCTGTCATGAATGTAAAGACTGTCAGGTAGGGTTACTTGTACTCACACCAAAGCTGGATCAAGGGTTTTATGACAGGGGATCCCAAACTTTGATTCAGAAAGCACAAATTAAATTCTCTTTTTATATTAAAACCTAATAAATACAAGCTTAAAGATATTTCAAGCTAAGTAAATTTCAGTTACCAAAAGTTCGTAGTAATTTGCGATCCTGACGTTGCAGGAATTCTGATTATAAAAATATCCAGGTCCAGATCCCTGGATCCTCATTCTGTATACACCCCTGTGCACTAATTTTTGTCCCCGTTTTTCAGGTATGGTGACAAAATACCAGGGTCGATTCCTGGACGGTTATTTAGCATAATTTGGATCCTTGTTGGAGCGATATTGTTATCGCTGTTCACTGCCATGGTCACAAATGCTATGAACACTGCTCTGGATGGCTCAAAATGCAAAGATATCAGCGGTAAAGAGGTGAGAGTTGTCAAAAGTAAAAAATACGAAGTTGACAGCGTTGTCTGTGTTATTTCCATAAACCTGGCTTATCAACTCATTTTAATATTTCTATGGATTGATGATAATCTGTTAAATCATGGCCTTTAGGGTTGATGCTAACCTTACATGGACAAGGATAAGAGTGGTCCCTTCTTTTTGGTGAAGTCCGTCGCACCAATCAAAAACACAAAAATAACAAGCACAAAAGTAACCGTGGAAAAAATTGATATTGGCGCGCCGCAGCGTGCCTCATCTGCACATCTCCGCGCGCCACACTATCGTCCATTTGTGTTCTTTTGTTCACTGATATTTTTTGACTCGTGCGACGGACCTCTCCGAAAAGTGGAGACTGCTTGCAGTCTGTACACAAACTCAGATATAAAAAACAAGACAAAACAAAAAGAAAGAAATACGAAACATCTTGCTGCGGCCACCCCTGAGTGTGTAGCATCATGGTCTGAGCTGTCAGACTCGTTCCGATAGCCTCCATAACTTTCTTCGTAGAATCTATCACCAGTAATGCCCTCTTCGCTGACAGAATCACTCCACAACCTTTCTAGAATCTTATTAACTGAATACTTACTAATTGCCTGCAAATTGTAAGTGTACCTAAAAATATGTGGAGATTCCAAGATGACAGATAATTTGTACTTGACAAGAAAAACAAATTTTGTAGGTTTTATCGGGCATTTATCTGTCGACAAATGTACAAGTCTCTACCAGGCCCTATTAAGTTTTTCTATGGGCGATTTTAATTGTTGATTTACCACATTATATAAGCATCATTCCTTGAGACCTATCAATTATTGGCTATTGCCATCTAAGTAATCTGATTCAGGACTTACAAAGTGCGTCCTTGCCACAGTGAAAGGCCTAAAAGATGTAGTCGTGTGCGCTGGAGGGGGGAAAGGTTACGTAAAAAGGATGACCACACCCAATACATGCGCAAGAGAAGATAAAGCTGTTCTAATGTAGTGTGATTTACCTTAGGTTGGCGTGTTCATCAAAAACACTGATACGAAAATTGTGGCAAAGCAGTACGACGCAAAGATAATCGGTAAGTAACGATTTTCGCTGAGGTTATATCTATTGCCAACATTCCGTTTACAAATAAAGTTTTCAAATGCATCTGTCTTCATTCGTCCAATTAACGTGACAATGTCATACTGGATTAACGAAAATTAGGGATGTGCTCCTGATTCCAGTCCCACTGGAGGACTCGAGGATAGTTCTGCATTTACCTGATTCGGTAACATCAATTCGTACTGGGAGCACACGCCAGTATGACTTCCCATTCTACTACAAACGTACACGATCACAGAGCCACGAGAAGGGGGAGGGGGTTGACTTCGCTCAGGCGTTAAAGTATTCCCATATCACGAAGATACACCTTACAAAAAATACAGTACAGTGACACCCCTTCTAACAAACTACCAACTGAAAAAAGCCTCAATGGTTCGTTTTCCATGAATGCATTTTTGTAAAAATATTTAACCTTATTTACGTGACCTCCGTTGTGACTAGACTGATCCACAAATATCTGATATTACAGAGTTTAGAAGCCTGCAAGAGATGCAAGAAAAACTCAGCGAAGGAACCATCGGAAGAGTCCTTGTCGATCGAAACACTGCATTTTACTTCCTCGATAAATCCGGACTGAAAATGAACAGGCAGATCCGAATGATTCGAAATATCGATTATCCGATGGATTATTACTTGGTGCACGTATACACAGGACCAGTGAACGTTACAAACGACACCGATCCAGAAATTGTCAAAAGAAAAAAAGTGGTGGAATGTGGACCAGCATTAAAGAAGTTTTCCACAACATTGCGCGGAGAAAGTCTAAAGGCATCAGGTGACCTGATACCGGCAGAACTGCAGGTAGTCTTCTACAACACTTTTTAACTTAAGTGATCAAGAGTAATTGTTGATACTGACGTCAGGTTTTTGATGCACGACCGCACAAAGGTTGTTTTTTGTCGCCTTACAGCTTTAACTGGCCGGAAAAATATTAGAAGGTCGGTTTAGGTATCTCTAGCCCTCTGATGATGAATTCATGAAAATTTGTATAATCCAGAACTAGGAAAATGAGAAAAGTAAGATACCTGTGGGAAAACAAAGACTACCCTTGCTCTTTAAATAATTCTAAGTGGTTGAATCTATCCCTCTTTAATGTTTTTTTTTTATTTTTAGACGGCTGCCTTATTTGATCAAATGGATGGTTTATTCTCAAGTGGCTCAGAAATAACCCGGTTTATCTTATTTAGTCTTCTTGGGATATTCCTCGGACTTGTCATCATCGGGGTATTTTGGGAGGGCTTGAATTCCTGTAATCCCGCGATTCTAAAGAGGAAAGGTAAGTTTAACCCGTGTGGAAATATTTGGATTCAATTTGTCCTTGTTCTACCAACATCAAAGGTTGTCATTTTTTAGGGGGCAGGTCAGAGGATTTTGCGGCGGGAGGGGGGGGAGGAGATGCGTGCTTTTCAGGGGGAAGGGAGGGAAATAACAGTCGTTCCTATAAAGGGCGATCATTGGAATTCAACAGAGCTAAATAGAGGATCAGGTAAATTGTGATACAACCCAAATCCTCCGAAGGCACTCCTTCCCCGTCTTCTAGCCCCAACTGTGTGACAGATATTGACCGTTCCCAAATACATTTTATTTTTTGCTAAATTAGGTATTGACAGATCCATTTCTTTAATTCTTCAGATATGCACAAGTGTGACCGAGGAAGCGAGGAAGATCATCCAGGCCACTTTAACAGGAAGAAATTCGTGGTGGAGAATTTTCAGGGTTTTGAAAATAGACTCAAAGAATTATCCAACGACTTGCAGAAGATTAAAAAAGACTTTGCTAAAGCTCTCTTAATCCAGGAAAGTGATGCACCTCATGAAACACTGCTGCAATAAGGCGAGAAATTGTAACGTTTAAATAGCTTTATCTTATTTTAGCTCATTCCTATGAGCTGAGTTTGTAAATTATTAGTAATAACATTGTATCTATAGGTTCTTCTTCACGAGAGAATTCATTGTTATGTCATTTATCACATTTTGACAGCCACCAAACTCTGTCCCCTAATCTGTAGTAATACTCCTCTTTATGCTAAAGTGAAACCGGGATAAGTTCCGGCTGAGTGGGTCACTTGGCTCGACGATGGAGCCAAGGAAGGCCAGTTTTAATCTTGTAAAATTACCGTATGGCTGTATCCCAAACAAAATCAAGTGTTGTCTCTCATGATCGATAATTTGTACATAGAGGAGTTACCTTCTGAGAGTTGAAAAACAAAACCAAAGTTATTAAAGCAACCAATCAGAAGAACAGTTTACATTATCATATGCCAAAGAGAGCTTAAAGTGAAAAAAAAGCAAACTGCTTCGAGAAAAGGAAAAATGGGAATGAGCAAGTTGCAAATGTAATCTTGCATCCGATAGGTTGAGAGGATGGCTCAAGTTTTCTGGGCCAATCAACGAGCAGAGTTCAGCGAAATTTAAGCAATCGCGGATGTCTTTTATCAATCATCAAATTCTACTTTTTCGACAGGCGTGTGGTAATCTTTTATAGTTGTTTATAGTATTTCATTACTTAGAATAAGATTGTTTTATTTTTACGCTAGTGATAAGCTTGTAGATTCTGTCTCTCGGGTTTCAAAATATTGTTTTACTAGGCACACTCTGTAAAGTGCTTTTGGACATATGGACATATGAAAATGTGTGACATAAATGATGATGATAATGAAGATAATTACTATTTTTGTTGTTATAGGTTGGTCTCCTTAAGATTATTTGAAATTACTTGAAAATTTCATTATTTAAAGGGTTTTTTCTAACCAATACATACTACTATATTTTCCAGTTCACTCTGCAGCTAAATAATTGTGTAATAGCGGAGCTTGGATTGCATGTCGCATGTCTTCAAAAATGATGGTAATATCATTGTAACCCATCGAGCAGAGAAAATTTTATAGTCAAGAAACAGTTCTTTATTTTACTTTGTACAGTACGTTTATTTATCAGACTTATAATCTGGTTTGTATCATAAACCATTCCATTCCAATGTTTTGGTAGAAGCTATTATATGTGTGTATGTTTTACTGATGCGGCTATTTTCACGACACAATTCAAAAGAAATTAAACAAAAAAGGTTGAGCCAAGACGGTAAAGTTTGGTTTGTAGCGTGCACATACATTGTAAACTATCATCTTAGTATTATCAATATAAATTTTAATTCACTAAAATTCTTTTCCAATACAATATAGTATAAACTTGACTAAATTAAAATCTGTCATAGGTCTCATTTCACATAATTATTTCATTCTAATGATTACATTCAATCGATTATAATCTGTTCCTTCCTAATCCTATCCTTAACTACTTCCTTGTTCAACCTAGCTCAAGAGAAATGTCATGGAAAATCTTATTTGAAGATAAAAAAAAATCCATCTTATATATAAAAAATCTAAAAATATTCTCAAAAAAACAAAAACAAAAACAAAAACAAAAACTATTTCATAAATCCTGCTTGTTCTTTTTCGATCTCAAAGTCACAATGTTCAATGTTCAGAGAGACACGCCTAGTGGTGCGTGAACCTCTTGGGCAAAGTAAGGCAGACCTTAGTAGAGCGAAGGACACTTTTGAACGTATCCATGAAATCGTTTTGCTGTACCCCTCTCCTTTCTTAATAGAGATGAGTTCCGCTAATCTACTGTGGAAACACTTGCATTCGTCCGCCATGCCTCCGGTAGTAGTGAAGACTAAAGGTGTAAAAGTCCCTCGTTCAACTTCCAAAACCCTGTTGGCGTACAAATTTCAAAAGCGCACAAGGAAGAAAAAGGTTTATGACTATGGGCAATACCATAACGTGAGCTGCTGAGAAGTTCCGACGTGACAGGGGCCGTACGCATAGAAGCGAAACAAAGTCCATAGGAAACCCACGAATAAGAGTCAGACGATGGTGCACGCAGAATACCAGCTGTGACGAAAAGAAGGACAAATGTTCGATACTGCTGGCCCATACTTTCATCTTTACAGCATTTAACATAAACTCGTCAAGGTCGTCTCATGTTGTACTTCAACACCAGAAAATTCTGCAAAAATTTTCTTTTTTTGCAGAATAACAGTTCTATTAGAACTTCCCACACACTTTGCACTTCTTTCCCAGATCCGCCCCTGTGTTTTTGGATCTAGTACATGACACCAATATTCTTCTGACGAAACACAGCATATTTAGGCGTAATAATTGACTCTTTCATCTCGCTTCGTAGAATAAAAAAAAAATGGAGAACGTAAGCGACTAAGGCTCTTTTCAATCTCCAAAGCCTGAAACGGTCATAATAACAAAAACTCAAAATAAAACTAATTCCTTGGTCTCACTTGGTGGCCATTTCCATTGTGTTACTAAAGAAAAGCTGAACAAACCACATACCAGACTCTGTTGGATCCTTTCGGTCTTTCCTGCCTAATGAAGGTAATTAGTGTCAAACTCTCTTTGAAAAGCCTCTCTAATGCGAAATATGTCCTGCCCAGGGCCGTGTTCATACGAATACTTTTAATTGTTTAAAAACAACGAACCTTACTTTCTATCAATTTACCGGTGTAATAACCCAGAGAGGATGTTGAGAGAACACGATAAAAGTTTGTAAATCACAAGCGAGAAGCGAGCTACTTTTAGATTGCAGTGAAGCCTTTAATAAACGATCACACTGTATTTAGCGTTTTGTTGTCAGTCCCGAAATTTTTTTTCCCTTTAATAACCGTAGTTTTTACCTCTAGTAAGCGTTCGTGGTCACCCTTTACTGAGTACCAGCGGCCTGTTTGTATTCTCCTCCACCTGTATTGAACGATCACTTAGAGCGGAACCACTTCAAATAGAATTAGTTATAACCTTTCAAGAACTAATTCGATTGATGTTTATCTCCCGAAATCAAGGTTAGTAATAGTTTTGGATGATTTTTTATACTTATAGCATAGGGTGACGTTTTAATCATTTTTTGTGAAAGCCTTATTCTGTACTGCCAGTCTTGAGCACTGACCATTTCCCGTGGGTAAGCGCTCGTTATAGGTTCGACTTTGTATAAATGTTTCCTTTTACCCTCTTCGCTTGACGAACGAGCTCGTAATAGCCATGATGCTGTTTGAATCGTGTCGTTATTACACCTATACAAATTTCATTTATTTTTATGGGAAAGTGAAGTACGTTTTCGAGGAAGAAATGTAACTCGTATTTCTTTAAAAACTGAGAAGCATTAGACATCGAGTGGCAAAGAGGTCTAAAAGATTTTACATAGGCTTATTGGAGAAAGTTTTGCAATAATTCCCTCCTCTACTAACGACAAAACAAGAGGATACAGAGGTCTGTATGCAGCATGACCAGCTCCTTTCATAAATGGAAATAGCTGTTAAGTGATTATACTTTTCTTAAGTTTTGTTTTGAAGGTTTTAAGTGAACGAAACAGGTCAGGCAGGGAGCGGTGACAGCGTGTGGTACAAGTCATCGGCTAAACTAATATGGTCAAATGTCTCTCTAAAAAACTGTAAAATCTATTAAAGCTCAGTGAGGTACTATGTGAAAAGAAAAGCGATCAAAGCTTTTTGCTAGGCTAGGCAAGGTGATATGCCTCTGGTCATAAAATAAATGTCACCGATTTCACAACAAGTGAACATGATTTAAATTTCAGTTTTCCAATTTCTATTGGCATATTTATTTGAATTTGCCATCGTGTAGGCTTAATCTATTTCGGATGCAAATACTGTGATTAAGTATGATGGATACCGCGCAGCATGAAAACAAGAGAAAAATAAACACCAGTCAATAGCGCCAATTTCATCACTAGTATCCTGTTTTAATTGTAAGGACGGGCGTTACAAAGTGCGAAGAGTTGGTTACAAAGTGCAATAAGGTTCTTACAAAGTACGACAGGTATTACAAAGTGTGACGATTTTTAAAAACCTCGCTGCTCTAATAACTAAATATCATCAGTCAATTATTCTATGATTATTCAAGCAGATGTTTTACGCGTCACACTGTGTGTGTCACACTGATCCGAGCATTTGTGTCATTTGGCAGTTCTCTAATAGCAAACTTAAAGAAGTGTAAGGAAGAATCAGAGGGACAGCTGTTTGCATCTATTACGTCACAATGGCCAATTCTGGTATGTATGATGTTACTGTCAGGAGTTTCAGGAATACTCGTATGGCTTTTGGTAAGAACATGGATTTATGTTGGTCATACAGTACCACATAGGCTTACATAAGCCGCACGTTTGGGCGATGGGACACGACAGAATTCTGAGAAGATGCCTGGAGGTTTTAGGAAAACTTTAATGAATTTTGTTTTACTAGTCATGATAATGTGCATCTGACCTCTTGATAGAATGGAATCAATGCAGCATTTTTTTTCCTGTTCTTTTTTATGAACGATATCAATTTCTTTTGGGATAACTCCCAGTTAAAACACCCCAACATTTTTTCGCAGGCTATAAAAGTAGACTTTTCCTTCCTGATTGCAGGAACGCAGAGTTAACAAAGACCAGTTTTCACCTTTGTTTACGGCTGGTGCGCCTCAAGGATTTTGGTGGGCCGTGCTCTCCCTCACAACAGTGGGGTATTTCAATTCTGTTTAAGATAACTGCACTTGCAATTAAACGTAATTCTAAGTTTTTGACTTACGTTGCGGTTTTTTATGATTACTCTTTTTCTAAATCAGGTACGGGGACGTAACTCCAAAGTCCTTTCTTGGCCGTAATTTGGCATTATCTGGGTTCTGGTGGGAACAGTTATGATGTCATTGTTCACAGGCTTAATAATCAGTGCCATGCAAGCCTCCCTTGATGGCACAAAATGCAGAGATATTGCTGGTAAAGAGGTGCGTATAAAGAAAAAAAAGTTTCATCTTAAGTGTTGCCAAAAAGGAGACGGATCTGGCCTTTAGTAGTAATTTGAAAAAAAAAACCACTATGATTGTATCTTTTTCAGTCCTCTCTGAGTTCTAAGTACATGTAGCAGAAATCAACTCCCCATAGTTGTTGGTATTAATGCAAATTATTGTGTTTTTCATATCAGGTTGGTGTCTTAGCTCCTTTTCTTACAACCCAAAAAGTTGCTGAAGAGTTAGATGCAAAGATCCTCAGTAAGTGAGAATTCATTTATGGTAACAATGAGCTGTTATGCCACAAATCATAGCTAGATGAAGTGCCAACTAGTTAATATCATTTCATTACCTTCGTGGTCACACTAAAACTTTCTTAACAAGGTAAGAACTTTATTCTTGTCTTAGTTGCCTATATATTGAATGTGCTAAAACAAAAAGGCAATGAAAATTTGATAAATGATAACTATGTGGAGAAAAAACCTGAGGCCGGCTAAAAATTTATTGATGGTCATTTGACACACAGTTTTAAAGCGCACAAGTATCTAGAGGACACCAAAAGGCCAGGTATTAGAATTAAGGTAAAGACTACGTTTAAGAAGACATAGCTGTCGGAATTTCTACCTCAATAAAGTTCTCACATCCTTTACTACCACTGTGAATTTTACTGTCAATCATCAGGTAATCAATACTAACCGCACAACATGAACGGAGTTAGTTTTCATCAACAAAGGACTTTAGCTCTTTAAACCCATTAACCTACGTTTCCATACTGATTTGATCAAGAAACTTTTAATCTACAGAGTTTGACTCTCTTCAAGAAATGCAAAAAAATCTTAGCCAAGGAGCAATTGGAAGAGTATTGTTAGATCATAACACAGCATTGTACTTTCTGGATAAATTTGGTTCGCAACAAAGCAGACAAGTTAGAATGATACGTAACATCGATTATCCGATGGAGTATTATCTGGGGCATGTAAGCCATGACGTCACACCACTTGCAACAAGGTCACCAAATGAAACCAATTACTCCGAGGAGCAGCGATTTAAAAGAAAACAAGAACTGTCCAGGTGCGGGAAGAATTTAAAAGAATTATCTACAGACTTGGTTGCGGTTGCTAAGGAAACTGCAAAAGAGCAACTTATTCCTGCTGAGGTACTTCTAAGTGCAAATGTTTTTCTAACTGTTCTCTTATTTTGACACGTGCGGCCGTTCAGGATGAACACCAGTGCATTTAAGTTAGGGTAAGAAATAGAGGTTTAATTTCATTATCTCAAAGAATACCTAATCCATTTTGCCTCACCTTCAAATATTCCTTTTCCTCAAACTCGGGAGTCGATAAACTATAGGGAGTCTACGGTAACTTAAATGTTAACTTACTTGGGTCAATATAA